GAGGAGAGAAGCAGAGAACCTTTGCCCTTGTAGTATATGTAGAAAGCAGAAGAGGGGGAGGCAAACTACTGGAGCCCTGACACAGTAATTAAGCAAGTTTGCAAAAAAAGAAAGCTTTCTTCTCTTTTCTCTATAGAGCATGTGCACTCACAGGAGATAAAGGGAAAGTGAGAAGGCCCCCTCAGGGTGGTGGTCATGCCAGGCCCTTCTCTTCCAAGCTCCTCTCAGGATTTTTGGCACATGAGTGTACACACACACACACGCCTGGCAAGTTTTTCAAGCTGCGGGGTCCAGGACTTGAACTGCTCAGTCACCCATGTGGGATCCAGCCACCCGGCTGCGATTAGATCAAAGCAATGACTCGGACGCGTAGTAAGAAGAAACTCAAACTCCATTCAGGGCCATGAGGAGACCTGAGTAAATGAACGGGGGAGGGGACGGCCCCCAGCAGAGCTCACACTCACTCTCTGAACAGCTCTCTGCACAGAGGAGAGAAGCAGAGAACCTTTGCCCTTGTAGTCTATGTAGAAAGCAGAAGAGGGGGAGGCAAACTACTGGAGCCCTGACACAGTAATTAAGCAAGTTTGCAAAAAAAGAAAGCTTTCTTCTCTTTTCTCTATAGAGCATGTGCACTCACAGGAGATAAAGGGAAAGTGAGAAGGCCCCCTCAGGGTGGTGGTCATGCCAGGCCCTTCTCTTCCAAGCTCCTCTCAGGATTTTTGGCACATGAGTGTACACACACACACACGCCTGGCAAGTTTTTCAAGCTGCGGGGTCCAGGACTTGAACTGCTCAGTCACCCATGTGGGATCCAGCCACCCGGCTGCGATTAGATCAAAGCAATGACTCGGACGCGTAGTAAGAAGAAACTCAAACTCCATTCAGGGCCATGAGGAGACCTGAGTAAATGAACGGGGGAGGGGACGGCCCCCAGCAGAGCTCACACTCACTCTCTGAACAGCTCTCTGCACACCAGTCCTAAGCCCGCACTGACCGAGTGCCAGGACCTGGGAACACACCCCTCTGCCCTCCTGGCGCATGGGAGGGTAAATGAAGCCGGCAGGAATCAAGTTCATGAGATAAGGGGAGAGGGCGTGGAGTGTGCTGGGGTTGCGGGACAGAATAGTTCCTGCAGATCCTGTGGCTTTCCCAGATTAGCCCATCCCGTCGGTGGAGTTCCCGCCACAGGGACTGCTGTGCCACAATCCCCTCCCTTCCCTTCTCCATCCTGATGGGACGTGGGCACACAGACAAGCTGTGGGTCAGGGTCAGCCGCAGTTGGGATCCAGGCCCTGAAACACTCGACACACTTTAGTCTTTGCTTGCCACTTGCCAGAGGCAGAGAGAGAGAGGTCACCCGAGGCGATGGCCACACCGCAAACCCTTCTTCCCTATTTCCTTCTTGGGATCTTGGGCACAAACACACACGGGCGTGATTTCTCTGCCATGGGGTCCAGGACTCGAACTGCGCACTGAGCCGTGTGGGGTCCACCCACTTAGCCTCCACGTCATCTGCTGGCCCATTTTTAAAAAACATTAAAACTAGTTACCATTTATCACCAAATGGGAAAATGGATTTCACGTCAGCACCCAGTGTCGGCAACGCTGACAGAAAGCACGTTGACAGCAAGGAGGAACAGTGTTGCAGAGTGCCACCGAATGAATGACCCCCAGGGCCAGATGAAGGTGAAAGGGAGTCTTTATTAGCTGGCCAGCGACCCATAGCCTGAGGCTCAGGGGCTGAGAGTCAGAACTGCAGCCCCGACTGAAGTCTGAGTAGTCTTTTTACAGGGCGTCAGTTACCAGGGGCTTCTGCAAGCAGTTACAGAAGCTGAATCAAGCAGGTTAATGATTTCTGAGCAGAGCGGGGTTTCCGTGCAAGTGGTTAGCTTTCCGGCTAGTTAGCAAAGACAGTAGCAGGTGCAGGATGTCGTCCCGGATACGGTTTTCTGTATGGCTAGCACAAGCTATCTTCACATGGGAAGAGCAAGCGGGTTTACAGAAGCAGACAGCCATGTTAGGGTGAGGGAACAAAATGGATGAACAGTTGTTCATGTGCAAGATCCAATATGCGGCCTTCCACAACAGGACGCTTCCGGAAGGCACTGGTATATACACATACATAAATAACCACGCATGGCAACGAGGACTTCACTCCCAGTACTAGCATTATGGGATTTTTCATCAAAACAAAAAACCGGGATCAGACTAAAAATCCACCAAACAGGAATCGGTTAAATAACGTATGGCAAATCTGTACAAGGCAGTGTAAACAGCACTTGTAACTGTCGACATCTAAACATCAGCCTCACTCTGCAGTAGCCGGACAGCCCGGCACTGTTCTCGCACCTCAGTGCCATTTACAAAATGGGTCTGTTATAATGTTCCTGGAACACTTAGGGTAACACTGACAGAACCCAGTAAATATTTTGAAAAAAGATAAATGGGGGACCAGCAGATGGCGTAATGGTTATGTCGCTGGACTCCACGTAGTGTGCAGCTGAGTCCCAGACCTGGCAGCTTCAAACTCACATTGGGCGAATGTGCGTACGTACCCAAGATCCCAAGAGGAGAATGGAGAAGAGACTACGGCGTGGCCATCTCCCCATGGGGTGATTTTTTTGCTTTCTGTCTCTTTGACTCTGTCTGGAGAGCACACTTGCCCTACAGCAAAAATCTCCTCAAAAAAAAAAAAAGATAAATGGACTAAAAAAAAAAATTACAAACCATTGCATATAGAATCTCTCTATAAAATAAACATCTCTCAAGTACATAAATTTACAAAGACTAGAAGGACATATATACAAAAACAGAACCACTACATCTTCGAATAGTGGGATGTTTTTTATTATTTCTGATTAACGGCAAATGTGATACGAAAAGTGGAAACTACCACCTATCAAAGTTACAACTAGGAACTGGCAGATTTTACTCCAACTGGTGAAAAACTCGCCCCAAATCAGAAGGCCGAGGGAGTGTGGATCCCAGCTGCAGAATCACACATACCCTTCGCTTCGCAGCTTCAGCCTGTATGATGAAGCCCAGGGGATGGTGAGACAATGGAGACTCTTCTGTCTGGAAGTTGATTCCACTTCCCCCTTTGTACAGAGGAATTAGATTCTGTGTCACCTTCGTATTTAGTTCAGGACAGCCTAAATTCTCACTATCCTCCCTTTTTTTATTTTTCGGAGACGGTTTTGCTATAGGGCATGGGCGCGCACCAGAAAGAGACAGAAAGTGAGAAATCACCCCTCAGGGGGGATGGCCATGCCCCAATCTCTTCTCCTCCATTCTCCTCTCGGGATCTTGGGCACGTATGCACATGTGTCCAGCGTGAGTTTAAGCCATCAGGTCTGGGACCCGAACTGAGGTCAACTACCTGGGAGCCCAGCAACATAGCCATTACGCTAACTGCTGGTCCCAGTTTTTTTTTTTTTTTTTTGTAAAAAAAAAATAAAATAAAATTATTTAACTTTATTTAAAAAATTGATGAGGGAGTGAGTGCGCATGTGCACACACGCAAGTAAGCCGCCAGGTTCAGGACTTGAACTATGGTTGGCCACGTGGGAGTCCAGTGCTCCTAACCACCACACTACCCACCGGTCCCTCACTGTCCTTCCTGAAGGTGGAGACCCGGCTGGAGTGGGCAGGGGGCATACCTGGAATATCTTCTTGCCAACAGTGAGGGCAGGTCCCTTTAGTCAGGTGAACCTCTTGGCATCGATCTTCTCTAGGTGAACCAGAGGCTTCAGCTGCTCAGCAAAATTCCTCATATCCTCAGAGACCATATCCTGCCCAGCAGGGGCCACGACACTTAACTCCACCAGGTAGGAGAGGGACAAGGCCTCAGTGCTGTCTGTGTTCCCTGGCACCAGGATGCGGAAGACCTTGTACACCACAACCTTCATGATGCCCTTGCGGAACAAGTGACCCTTGGCGACAAACTCATGGTCCATGCGGAAGCCCATCTCCACCAAGAAGTCAGTGAGGTTCTCAGATGTGGCGATATCCACGCAGCTCCGCACCAGGGCGTGGCGGTTCCTGTCCCCCATCTCTGGCTGCCCCAGGTAGCGCAGGTGCCAGGGTGCCCCTGCCCTGCTCATGGAACGCCGGGCCCTCAGGACAAACGGGCTGGCCTGCTGGCCCTTGAGGAGGAACATCATCTCGTGGTCCAGGAAGGTCTCAGGTTCCATGTTGTCGCACAACCCACGGAGGCGATGGATGAGGCTTTCCAGACTGTGATCCAAAACACTTCCTGAGGAGGGAAAAAGAAGTTAGGCCCATCTTTCATTTGGGGTCATGAAATTAGCAAAAGACTGAAGAATAAAAAGAAAAAAACATAAAAAAGTGAGAGTCAGCAGGTGGTGTGAAGGTTGAAGTGCTGGATCCTGCATGGCTGACGCCACGATTTGAGTCCTAGACCCAGCAGCTTAAAAAAATCACTCCAGGTGTGTGTGCATGTGTGCCCAAAATCCCCAAAAGGAGGCTGAAGAAGAAGGAGTTGCCATGTGGCCATCCTTCTGGGGAGGTGATTTCTCACTTTTCCTCACTCTGTCTCACTTTGGCAGGGATACACACTCTACGACAAACACCTAAAAAAAAGATTTTTACATCATAAGCAACATATAGAATTTTGGACAAAGAAATAATAATAATCCAATCTAATGATGGATGAGATTTGACTGGACAGTTTCTAATGAGCCTATGAGACCATATGAAAGCATATGAAAAGATGGCATTGCCAATCACTGGGACCAGAGATAGATGGCGGAGCAGTTATGTTGCTGGACTCCCACTTGCTCAGCTGCAGCTCGAGTCCAGGACCTGGTGGCCTCAAAATCATGCCGTGTGTGTGTGTGTGTGTGTGTGTGTTTGTGTGTTTGCAGGCACGCGCAAGGTCACAAGAGAAGGGGTTGCAGTGTGGCCATCTGTTTTCTCTTTCCCACGCACTGTCTCTGTCTCTCTCTGTCCAGCACACATGCCCTAAGGCAAAAACTTCTTTTAAAACAAAATCACCAATCACTACAGGAACATAATCAAAACTACCAGGAGACAGCACCCCACACCCATTAGGATGGCTACAAGCAAGCCCCAGGGAGAGGTGAGCATGAGGAGAAATGGAGCTCCTGGCGCCACACGGGAGACACGGACGGTGCAGCTGCTGAAGAGGACAGCACAGAGCTGTTGCGAAGTTAGAAATGGAGCTGCTGTACAGTGTCTCTGTGAATCTCCGCCAAGTGCACGCACTCTGTAGTGAAAATGTCTCTTAAAAAACAAAAACAGGAGGACCAGCAGTTAGCATAATGGCTATGTCGCTGGACTCCCATGTAGTCAACGGCAGTTCACGTCCCCAGACCAGGGGGCTTAAACTCAGGATCCCGAGAGGAGAATGGAGAAGAGATTGCAGCGTGGCCATCTCCCCTGGGGGTGATTTCTCAATTCCTGTCTCTGTTCTTCTGGTGGACGCATGCGTCCTATAGCAACCCCCCCAAAAAAAAAGATGAACACGGTAGTCTGTATCTGAGTGCTAAAACTGCAGGGTGCCTTTATTTAAGTCGCTCATCTCCAGGAACGCTGAGGATCAGGTAACCCAGCTGGTCCCTTACCCTGCAGCAGGTACTCCATCATGTTGATGGCGCCCCCGGTGACAGGCATCATGGTGACTGGAGGGGCCTCCATGGTGTCTGATAAAGCTGAAGGCAGACCTGCACGCAGAGCCCCCAGTCAGGCAGGACGCAGGACACACCTAGAAAAGAGTGACACCTGTTTACTCCAAGGGGCAGAGGCACACCAGACTCCTGCGTTCCTTTCAAACGTTTTGAGACATGCTTATGACGCCGCAGAAGCTGTAAGAGACCCGCCTTGGAGTGGGATCACTGCGTGAAACCTCCAGTCACCCTGCACTCTCCAGGAACTGGCCCTGGGTTGCAACATCCTCCCTCCTGGGACACGGGACAGGTAACACCGAGGTCACCCTGAGGCCAAATAACGGGCCGGGCCCTCGAGAACACCCAGGACTGGACAGGGACTTCGCAGGGCTCATGCAGCCTTCCTGCCACCGACAGGCACACTGAGGCTCGCAAAAGAGGCAGACGCACAGCCGGCCCGAAGACACAGCGCCGTCCGAGGACACAGCGCCCGCCCGAGGACGCACAGCCAGCCCGAGGACACAGCGCCCCCCTGAGGAAACACAGCAAGAGCCAGCCGCACGGCCGGCCCGAAGACACAGCGCCGTCCGAGGACACAGCGCATGCCCGAGGACGCAGCGCCAGCCCGAGGACACAGCGCCCCCCTGAGGAAACACAGCATGCCCGAGGACACAGCGCCAGCCCGAGGACACAGCGCCAGCCCGAGAACGCAGCGCCAGCCCGAGGACGCACAGCGCCGTCCGAGGACGCAGCGCCAGCCCGAGGACGCAGCGTCAGCCCGAGGACGCACAGCCGGCCCGCGCGAGAGCCTGCATCCGGGCGTCCGGCCCCCGAAACGCCAGGCAGGTAGGGGCGCGCGTTCCGGAGGAGGTTCCGGTTCTCCTGGGGCGGCA